GTACCAAGAGTGTTGACTGTGGAGCCAAGCAAACTAAAACTGTTAACTATCTCAATCTCTTCACCATCCATACTGATGCTGCCAATTGATCCAGAGAGTACCAGAGGAATGTCTCTCTGTACATCATTGACTATGCAAAAGCTTTTTACTGTGTGGATCACAACAAGCTATGGCTAACTCTGAGAAGAATGGGACTCTCAGAGCATTTGATTGTGCTAATGTGAAACCTATACTTGGACCAAGAGGCAGTTGTCAGAACAGAGCAAGGAGACACTACATGATTCAAAATCAAGAAGGGGGTCCACCAGGGATGTATTCTGTCTCCATACCTTTTCAATCTGTGTGCAGAACAGATCATCTGAGACACTGGGCTGTATGAGGAGGAATGTGATATCAGGATTGGTGGAACAGTCATCAAAAACCTGCATTATGCAGATGACACAACACTGCTGAAACTTAGGAGGACCTGAAGCACTTGCTGCAGAAGGACAAGTACTGCAGTCTTCAATACGGATTAAAGCTGAACATCAATAAAACAAAGATTCTCACCACTGGACCAGTTGGCTTCACTTAGAAAAAATAAGAATAGAAAAACTATAACAGAATCAGGCATGTCAGAAATGGACTTTAGTTATGCACAGAACTATATTAGACATAGATCAGTAACTAACAGGAAGATAGGAATTTGTAAGATGGCAAAATAAACAGGTCTGTCTTAGAGAGTGTGAAACTAAGTTTCTCCTTGGAGGCCAAGCGTCGTTTCACATACTTTGGTCATGTGGCCAAGAGGGACTGATCCTCGGTGAAGGACATCATGCTCAGAAGGTTGAAGGGACAGCACAGGAGAGGAAGACTCTGGATGAGATGGATTGATACAGTAACTGGGGCAATGGAGGTAGTTGTGTCACAGTCAGTGAGACTGGCTTAAGACAGGGCAGGCAGAGCTGTTGTACATAGGGTAGCTATGTGGCACAGTCAACTTGACAGCACACAGCAACAAAAACTTGATTGAGTTCAGGTTGTATAAAGGAATTTCAAATTTTTAAAAACAATAGCCTGAAAATATGCAGCCAGCTAAAGTTATGGCATAACTTTTCAAACTGCCAATGGCTCAACTTTTAAGCAATGGAGAATATAGTGAGACAGAACGAGGAGCCCTCATAACCACTTAAGACGAGGAAACATAATACATCAAAATAAGGCTCACCCTCTGGAGAGACGATTCACCTCTGGAGGGAGGCTAGCACTGACCCAGAGAAAGCTCCACCCCCTCAGTTCACAATGACATTTATGAATCTACTTCCTTTCTTTTTCATATTTTATTGATGGGTGTGACCCATTTATCATATTTTTATGCAAATAACATGTAAATTTTCTGGGTTTTATCATTATGTGTTTTATGAAAACATATTAATAAGGGAAGGGCAAAGTTAGTAAAAATCTGTATCTCTGTATTCTCTGTATCTCTTGGTTTTCAGCTTATTAAGCTCTATAAGGAAGAACAGGAGTTAGAGAGATATGCTAAATCTATAGTATTTCTACTCTTTACATCTTAACCTGCCTTTGTTCCTTAGTCTTCTATAATTATGACAAAGACATTTGCACAAATCTAAAATATATAAAGGAAAAGAAGATCCTGCAATTAAAAATGATACAAACTTACTCTGGCTGAAATGAACATGTTTGTTTGGTTTTTGATGCTTGGCTGCTAAGTGAAAGGTTAATAGTTTGAGTCCACCCAAGGGTGCTACAGCAGAAAAGCCTGAGATTGGTCTATGAATGATGAAAAATCAGCCAGTGAAACCATACGGCTCGTACAGCACTACTCTGCTATACATGGAGTTGCTAGGAGTTGAAATAAACTCAAAGGCAATTTGGTGTTTTGAAATACATGTTGGTGTCCCGAGGTGGTACAAATCATCATGTGTTCAGTCACTAACTGAAAGAGTGGTGATTTGCGTTCACTGAGAGGTGCTCTGAAAGGTAGGCTGAAACCTACTTAAAGAAGATTGGTGGTGAAAATCCTAGAGATCAGTTCTCTTCCAACACACACTGGATCACCACGAGTCAGAATGAGCTTGGATGTACTTGGACACAACTTAGCTTCTTAGTGTTGTTACTATCCATGACATATAAACTCAACATATTTAAGACTGGCAGGCCATTCAAAAACACTAAAGTAGAACTGTAAAAAACAAAACAAAGCTAAGATTCCAACACGATAACACTATCTGAATTTGGTTTCTATTTATCTATTTTGAATCTAAGGTGGTACATTCCAGAGACTTGCCATGGGGCATTTTTTTTAAGTTCCTTTTCTTTTTTTTTTTTAATTTTTGTGTGAGTGTACCGTCAAATCAGATCTGACTGGTACAGGAGGAGATTCTCCCTCCTTTTCCCGGAAGAGCATCTGGTGGATTCGAACCGTGTGCCTCTGGGATTGTAGTTGCAGCTCCTTGCCACTAGGCCACCAGAGCTCCCCTTAAAGTTCCTTTTTAATTTTCATTTTAGTGAAGGTTTACAAAGATATTTCATTCATTCATTCATGCATGCATACTTTTCTCCCTCCTCTTTCTCCAATTCCCCTTTTCAGGATATTGTCATACACATGGTTTCTAACCACCCATTCCTTTTGGATTGTCCTAAAAAAGATGTTTTAAAAAGTTTTCTTCAGACTACTTACCTAAGTACACTCCCAGCTTTCTAACTTACTGCTTGTTACCAGAAACAAGGCAAAAATGTAGAAGTCTTAGAGAATATTTTTAAAAGAAAAGCATTAAAGCAATAGTAGCTTTTCTACCACTACCACCACCACCATCTTTTTTCTGAAGTGTGACTGCATGAGAAACTTCACCAACTCTCCATCTGCAATCAGTGATTGGATGAGTGTTAGGCCCCTGACTAATCTGTTATCAATCACAGCTACCAGGTAAAATTCAACTGGAGCTGAATTTCCAATAAACAATGAATAATTTTTTAGTATAAGTATGCATCTACTATAGCACTGAGAGTTATACAATGACATTTTGTCGATGCTGCAAATAATATGTACAAATACATAGTGCATTTCTTGTGTTGCATGCATTTTTCTAAATTATATATATATATATATATATATATATATATATATATATACACACACTAATGCATGGGAACATGTAAACACAGAAACATAAGGATTATTTGAATTTAGGGCTACTTATTTTTAAAGTTTGAAAGTTATTATTGTAACTTTCTAGAATTAGGAGTTCCAGGGTGGTGCAAACTGTTACAGACTACCTGGCAACATAAAGGTTAGAAATTTGAGTACTGCCAGAGGTACACCTTGAAAGAAAGGCTTGGTAATCCACTTTCAAAAATTCAGCCATTGAAAGCCCTAGGGAACATAGCATAGGTCTTTTGTTGATACCATGTGCTGTCGAGTGAACTGCCAGTCAGCAGCTCTATGGACAATGGATCTAAACCCTGCCCCATCCTGGGCCATCTGTACCATCTCTGACACACTTGAGCCCATTGTTACATTTACTGTGTCAGTCCATTTTGTCAAGGGTCTTCCTTTCTTACACTGACTTTGCAACTCTCCGCGCATGATGTCCGTCCCTCCTAACATGCCCCAAAATATGTGAGAAGAAATTTCACTATCCTTGCTCCAAAGAGCACCTAGCATACATACATGGATATAGTAACTGGGAACTGACTAGTACCAGCTCCAGCAGCATAGTGGTAAGGTATTGTGCTGCCAAGCCAATGGAACACAGTTCAAATCTACCAGATGCTCCATGGGAGAAAGATGGGCAATCTCCTCCTCTGCAATTTACTCCCTCTGAAAACCTGCTGGTGGGCCAGCTATGAGTTGGTTCTGACAACGGCATGTAACAACAACAAACAACAGCTGGGAGCTCTGATGGCCTATTGGTAAGGAGCTGTGTTGCCAATCAGCAAGCATGCAGGTTGCTCCAAATAAGAATGCTGGACAATCGTCTCTCACGTGATATATAGCCTCTGAAAACCCACTGGAGGATCTGCTATGAGTTGGATTTGACTCGACAGCATATAACAACAACAGTACTGGTAGAGGGGGCTCTGGTGGCCTCGTCTGTAGGGAATTTTGCTGTTAACCCAAAGGCTGTGCCTCTCTCGCAGTTCAAACCTACCAGCACTCCTGAGAATTCTCCTGTGAAATTTAGTCTCAGAAACCAAAAGGAAGGTGGACTATTAGATCAGTTCCAACTAGATCACAATGAAATTGAATTCTGTGTACTGATACTCCTATATTTAAGACATGCAATGAGTTGTCAGTGTCAAACATTAAATGACAATATATGGTTAAAGGCAGGCAATCAGGTAAACCGTGGGTTGAGTCTGAAGGCCTAGATTTTAATCCCTGATTACTAACTAGTTAGGAGGAATTGTTGAGGAGGACATGTTTCCTCCTGTCCTTTAACTGAAGTTTCCTATCTGCAAAATCAGATTTGGAGGAGAACATATTTTAAGGTCTTTGATGTCTCTAAAATGTGATTCTTTTTTTTTTTGATTGTTAGATAACTTTGGGATAACATTCATTATTAAGAAGTAGATGAATATAATGGAGAGAAAACAACTGTTGAAAATAATGGACATAATGCTGCAGAGTCAGAGTTTGACTTTGCATATGGAGGGGACAGTGTAGGGGGATATCTAAAATGCCTAAAATGAATTTCTTAAAGTCTACATCAAGGAAAATTTACACAGGGCTTGTATTTTACTTGTACTTAATAAATGATCTTGTAGCTTCTGAGGCCCTCAGCAACAAGGTAAGCTTTAGTTAACCTCTCTCTATATTAAGATTTTGTTTCTGTAACTACAAAGCTGATTCAATAAGACAAAAAGCTTTAGCTAATTCTTTCATCAAAAACTTTTTCAGTTCTAAGGCAGAGCCTTTCACACAATGGAATACTATGCTGCATTAAAATGTGATTCTTATGAAATGGTTGAAGATCTTGCTGAGAAAAGTTTATTACCTCCGCAATCATCCTATTGGTGTCTCCTAAGAAAAGTAGATTCAAGGCTTCTTCCTCTGTGGTTGCCTGATGAAGAGACAGATTTTTCAGGTGAATGTTCTGATCAGGATCCTCCAGGATTATCACTTTCCTAGGGTAACAGGGAATAAGAAAAACAAGGCACTGCTGAAAATGAAGAGAATCTAGCACCTCTCCTACAGATTTCTTTTTGGAAAACTGTACAGCAGGATGTCTTCAACTTGTAAAAGCAAATAATAGACAAGACAGTCGACAGTACTGGATTAGCATCAAACACTGACATACCCTTGATAGAACTATCAAATATCTTTGGAGCTGAAAATTGTATTAGGAGCACCTGATTTACTGCTACCTGTCTTTGTAATAGTCCCATCACTAAATCATATGAAAATGCATATTCTTGCTGAATTAAAAATGTAAATAGATAAAAACCTTCTGCCTATATATCAGAAAACTAGGTTCTGTCATTTTTTTTCTATGTTGTAATTCAGTTTCTCATATAAGCAATGCACTAATTCTTCTTCCTCTAATTTTTCAGTTTTGTTCCACTTTATATCACTTTCAATTTATATGACCTTTCAAGATCATCAATAACTTAACCATAATGAAAATAGAAGTATCTGTCATCCTAGGAATTATTCCCTTCACTGTTTTTCTTATCACATTTAAAAATAACAAATCTTCAGAAGCCTTATGAAGAAGTTTTCATTTGTCACTATTGTTTGTATCCCCATCAAGTATGTTGTCTTGATCCTTTCTCCTTTACAGAATAACTTCTTCTCCTATTTCATTCTGAGAGCCTGAGCCTGAGGTCTGGAATTACATTCATCTATTAAACCTGCCCTAATGGGCATCCTGGTGCCAATACCATTTCCTCCCAGATGAATCCTAACCCTCCTTCCAGGGTTGGCTTGTCAATATTCGCCTTTAAAATCCTTTTAAGACTTTCTACAACTGAACAAAATCCAGCTGACGACATCACGCTCTCCCTCAAAGGTCTGCAGACTTGAGCCATAAAGTTTCTAGAGTTTCCTTCTTCCTCTAGAGAAAGAAATTGAATTTTTTAAAAGCTTTAAGGAAAGGGGCTCTTACAATCCACCAGGACTGCCAAAGAGTATCTCTGGGAGTCTTCCCTTTCTGACAGCATTGGGAATTGATGGTGAAAACTGAATGTTGGCATCACCTAGAATGATGACATCTTTAAAAGTAGAGCTACCAACAGGACATCCTGCATTTGCTTATTTATAAGAATATATTTCATATACCTTAAAAATGAAGATTTAGGCCTCTCATGATTTTTTGATTCTTTGCTTTTATAAGAAAGTTGTCCTGAACTCTCTCATCTGTAATTTGTGAGCACGTAAAACAGTCATTACAGGATGAAAAAGGCGCTCTACCAGCACATCTGTGACCAGTATGTCACTAATAATGACATCCTGCCACGTCTGGGACTTCTTTTTGTCTGCTTCAACAACATGCATTAAGATGGAAAAGGACTTCTTTGCTTAGTGAAAACAAGTTACTTATTTTTCAACAAGCCTCATAATTGAGCTTATTAAAGATGCTTAACAATTCAAAATGTTTGAAAAACAAGAAAGCAATTTTAATTGAAATGGATGAGTTGTATTCTAGTTTTGGAAACTCGCTTTTTTCCTACACTTGATTTCTACCCTGATCGGTCTCGAGTGCTAGAGAAGTCAAGAGCTGGTTCAATGAGACTAAAAGGTCAGAATTATTTCTAAACCCATGGATTCTAGGGCTTAAAGGTGAAAGAAGTTAAATTATATTGGAAGGCATATAAAGGTATGAAATCAGGTATGAGAGAGTAATTAAATGCAAGAAGAGAGTGGGTTTTTCAATATGAATAAAAAGTGAATTCTTCAACTCTAACCAAGTTCACAGTATACATGGGTTTTATGTTTGTTTTTTTAAAAAGAATTATTTTAGTGAAGGTTCACAAAAAGATTGGTTTTCATTAGTTCATTCATTTATGTACATTTCCCTCCCTTCCCCTCTGCCAATTCCCTTTGTAATGCTTGTCCTGTTGCAGGCTTTTAATTGTCATACACATAATTTCTAATAATTCCTTCCTTTCAGATTGTCCTTCTATGGCAGATGCAATCTTTTTAACGTGCAAGTTTAGAAAAGGGAGAAGTAGGGTGGTAAGGAAGGAGATCAAACAAGCGCTCACACTGATGAGCGCCAGCTGGGTGTGTTAGGCATCCACATAATTTCTAAACCACCATCTTTGTTCAGGTGCATGCAGCAACTACCTAGCGAATTGATGGTGCAGAATTCACCCCCTCAGACTGGTCTGTGCTGTAGCTTATGTATTTGAAATTTTAAGAATGCTAACTCACTCCAAATTTTAGCCAGAGTTGAGAATCATCAATTTCATCTATATATGAAATAGAACTTTGTGAGGATGGTTCTGATGTTTTTAGTTTTACCTTCCACCCAGCTCCACTCTAATGGGCCGTGTTGTCTTTGTCCTCTCATGGCTATTCATTGTAAGCTAAAGCACAGATGGGCTGCATACTGGTTGTCAAAGTTACTGAGAATTTACAAAAAACAATCTTCAATGGGAATTTTCTTCTACCTTCCTGAATGTGCAGGTTAACAAAGCTATGTAACATGAGCATAACTAATACACAGCTGGGAACTATGAACTTACTGAAATATCCATAGGATTTATATTACTGATGTATTAGGAAAGGTAAGTAATAACCGTAAGGGTACATTCTTCACTGCTACTTCACTGAAACAGAAAATGCAGTAAACAAGCAAATATGGAATTCTTTTTGTTGTTGATTGCCTTCAAGTCGAGCACGACTCATAACGACCCTATGAACAAAAGGCCTAAAGCCCCTCTACAACTATCAACATTTATCAAAGTTCATAGAGTTTCCAGGGGTAAGTGTTTAGGAAGTGGATGCCACTCCTGCTTCCAAACCTGTCATAGAATGTTATTGGTTGAGTTGCCTGCAATGTATAGCGAACCGATGTACAGCAGCTCTGAACCCTTCCCTGTCCTGAGCCAGTCTCACTAATTTTGACACACCAACCTTCATTACCCCATTTACTGTATCAATCCAGCTCATCCAGAGTCTCCCTCTCCTGTGCTGTCCATCCACCCTTCTGAGCATTATGTCCTTCTTGGCCATGTGCCCAAAGTAAGTGAGGCAGAGCTTCAAAATCCTAGCCTTGTTGCAGGATGTTGGGGAGGAAGGAAGGGCCTCTGGCCAGGACAGCTCACTTAAGCTCCAGATAAGTGCAAGCCTCTCAACGGCCTTTAATATGGGGTAGAGAAAGCTCCCCTGTGTTTGGCTGTACTGGTTTGAGAAAGCTAGTCACCTGGGAAGATGGCTCTGCCAAGTCTGTTGAGCTGGGAGTGGTCTGCATGAGGCTGAGGTTCTCCTAACAAATCCAAATGTCCCACGTCTCTAAGCCCACCCTATCCTGTCTTCCTGTTTATATAAGTGCACTGCAGATCCCAATAAAATTGAGCTGGATTGACTCTCAGATCCTCTCCCAAAGTGGTGTATCTCCGTCGTTCTTACCCCCATCACAGTATCGCTGTTAAGTTGCCAGTGAACTGACAGTGACATAGCCTCCAAGGAGAGACTTGGTTTCACCCTCTTTCTGAATGCAATTCGTCTTTTGATTTCCTGACTGCTGGTCGTAAAAGAGTGTTGATCGTGGATCCAAGCAAGCTGTCATTGCTACCAACCTCAATTTCTTCTCCATTTATTATGGTGCTACCAATTGGCCCAGTCGTGAGAATCTTTGTCTTTTTGATGTTGAGCTTTAGTCTATATTGAAGACTACAGTCCTTGTCCTTTTGCCGCAAGTACTTCAGGTCTTCTTCAGTTTCAGCAAGCAAGGTTGTGTCATTTGCATTTTATAGGTTGTTAATGAGTCTCCCTCCAGTCTTGATGCCACACTCCTCCTCATAAAGCCCAGCTTCCCGGAAAGATCTGTTCTGCATACAGATTGAAAAGGTACAGGGACAGAATGCATCCCTGATGTACTCTTTCTTGATTTTTAATGATACAGTGTTTCCTTGTGCTTTTCTGAGGGCTGCTTTTTGGTCCAAGCATAGATTTCGTACAAGCACAATCAAGTGTTCTCAGACTATCATTTTCCTCAAGGTTAGCCACAATTTATTGTGATCCACACAGTCAAATGCCTTTGCATCATCAATGAATCACAGATAGACATTCTTCTGGTACTCTCTACTTTCTGCTAAGATCCATCTGACACTGGCAATAATGTCCCAAGTGCCACAACCTCTTCTAAACCCAGCCTGTATTTTTGGTAGTTCTCTGTCAATGTACTGTTCAAGTCTTTTTTGGATAATCTTCAGGATTTTGCTAGTTTGTAATATTAGTGATATTATATGATAATTTCCACACTCTGTCAGGTCACTTTTTTTGGGATGGGAATAAATATGGACCTCTTCCAATCAGTTGGCCAAGTAGTTGTCTTCCAGATTTCTTGGCACAACTTGGTGAGCATATGCAGGGCAGCATCTGTTTGCTAAAATACGTCAATTAGTATTCAATCAATTCCTGGGGCTTTATTTTCGTCAATTAGTATTCAATCAATTCCTGGGGCTTTATTTTCGCCAAGTCCTTCAGAGCAGCCTGATCTTCCTCCTTTATCACCATTGTCTCATATATTGTTTCTTTAAATTCTTCTGTATCAGCCAATTCTTTTTGGTTCAATGACTCTGTGTACTCCTTCCATCTGCTTTTATGCTTCTTGAATCATTCCATATTCTGCCCACAGCATTCTTAAACATTGCAACTCATGGCTTGAATTTATTCTTTAGTTCTTTCAGCTTAAGAAATGCTGAGCAAGTTCAGCCCTTTTGATATTCAGATTCCAGCTCCTTACACATTTCATTATATTTTGCCTTGTCTTCTCAAGCAGCCATTTGAAATCTTCTATTCAGCTCCTTAGCATCTTGATTTCTTCCCTTTGCTGTGGCTTCTTGCCGCTCTAGTACAATATTCAGAGTCTCTTCTGACATCCATTTTGGTCTTTTCTTCTTCTTCCTTCTTAGTAATGACTTTTTGCATTTTTCATAATCAATATTCTTGATGTCTT